CCTTTGCATTAAGACACTAAGACTAGCTGGTCCCTTGTAAAGGTCAGTCCACCTTAAATGAGCAGTGGGTGATCAGCAGGTGAAAGGCAGGACACGGGAACTTGATCCTGAGGAGATGTAACGATTATTAAACAAGAAAGTTGTCGAGTCAGGGGGTCAAATAAATGAACATTTGTGATTATGAGTGAATCGGTTGCAGGTGGGTGAAATCAGGCTTAGGGAGTAACGTATTACATGTAACGGCATTAGGTCATCAGGACACAAAATAGACAAATGTATTCCCTTACAGTTACAGAAGCAGCTGACGACCAACACACTTGTGTATTTTGAAACGATTATACCATTTAAATATTTTGTCACAAACATTGCAGCTCTATTCTTCCTCTCCTGTGTGGATTCTCATGTGTTTCTTTAAATGTCCACTCTGTGAAAAAGCTTTCCTACAGACTGTACAGCTGTGTGGTTTCTCTCCTGTGTGGACTCTCATGTGTTTCTTTAAATGTCCACTCTGTGAAAAAGCTTTCTTACAGACTGTACAGCTGTGTGGTTTCTCTCCTGTGTGGACTCTCATGTGTGACTTTAAATGATCACTCTGTGAAAAAGCTTTCTTACAGACTGTACAGCTAAAGGGTTCCTCTCCTGTGTGGACTCTCATGTGTTTCTTTAAATTTCCACTATGTGAAAAAGCTTTCTTACAGACTGTACACCTGTGTGATTTCTCTCCTGTGTGGACTCTCATGTGTGCCGTTAAATGTCCACTCTGTGAAAAAGCTTTCTTACAAACTGAGCAGCAGTGTGCTTTCTCTCCTGTGTGGATTCTCATGTGTTTCTTTACAAGGCCACTATGTGAAAAAGCTTTCTTACAGACTGTACAGCTGTGTGGTTTCTCTCCTGTATGGATTCTCATGTGTTCCTTTAAATTTCCATTCAGTGAAAAAGCTTTCTTACAGACTGAGCAGCTGAATGGTTTATTTTCAGCACTACGTCTTGGATCACTGAGAGATTCATGTCTATTTTTCAGTGAGTTTGAGCCTGACGCAGGTTCTCTGGTCTCCTTCCAATCAGTACTGTGTTCAGCGTCAGGTTCAGAAGAGTCTTCAGTGTCAGGTTCAGAAGAGTCTCCAGTGTCAGGTTCAGAAGAGTCTTCAGTTTCAGGTTCAGAAGAGTCTCCAGTGTCAGGTTCAGAAGAGTCTCCAGTGTCGTCCTCAGTCTTTGGTTGTAAACTGCTCTCTGGATCTGAGTTCCTGGCTGGTTCTGGTCCTCGACAGTCATCTCCATCAGCTTCTGTTTCCATGTGTTCAGTTTGTCTTTGATGAGGTTGAGAGGACTGAGGTTTCTCTTTATCATCTTCACTCTTCACAGGGTCAGGAGTGAAAGTGGACTTGGTGATATCAGCCTCCTCCACCTCCTCACTGACCCTGAGTTCCTCCTGTTCCTGCTTAATGTGTGGGGGGGGGCTCTGGGTCCTCCTGGTCCAGACTGGTGCTCCCCTCATGCTGGTCAGGGAGAACCTCTTCTTTAACCACCACCACCACCTGGACATCTGCAGGAAACAGGAGACACACAGTCAGAATAAACTGTTAAGTGTTAGCATTTAAAAATCTAATCACCATTACAATGGGAGACATTTTTCAGCCCTAATTAATGCCTTTGTTTTTATATTTTCACATTATCTTTCTTAGTCCCACTTAATGTGTATTTTTGTTGTCTCAGTTCAACTTATGTAGCCCAGCCCCTTTGAAAATGAAAAAGGGTGTTTGCTTCTGGCGTAGCACTAGCTGTAATAAACAAGGAATCGTATTTGGGATCGTTCACAGATACACTACGCCTACAGTATAGAATTAAAATACTGCATTCAAACCTTATTTAAGTAAAAGTATGCAAGTATCATCAGAACATTTGACGGCACCTTCTTACATAACAGTAACCATGGTGCAGTAAAATGTTCCCTGTCAGTGTTTAATTTATGATGTTTCTTGATTATTTCGTATGTTCACCTGGAATCAATCAATCAATCAATGTTTATTTATATAGCCCAATATCACAAATGTTACATTTGTCTCAGTGGACTTCACAGTGTGTACAGAATATCAGTATGACAATACGACACCCTCTGTCCTTAGACCCTCACATCGTACAAGGAAAAACTTCCAGAGAAACCCCATAGTTTAAAGGGAAAAATGGGAGAAATCTCAGGGAGAACAACAGAGGAGGGATCCCTCTCCCAGGACGGACAGACGTGCAATAGATGATCGAAAAGATGATACATTTACAACATAGGTAGTCCAAATGTTTGGAAATGCATGCGTCTATAATAAGAAGATGAATCCACGAGGATGTCAGCAATCCTGTGGGAGCCATCAGGGAAGTAGTATGGTGAGTCAGGCAGGACCGCAGAGACAGGTTCAGCCACGACTCGAAGTCCAGGACTCAAATCCAGTGCTCAGGATAGAGGATCCAGGACACACGACCACAGCAACAGGATTAGCCTCGACTCAGGATCCCGGCGTAGATATGGACACAAAAAAGAGATTTGCTGCTGCTGGGCACCCTCATGTGGAATCAAATGAAAATGTTGACAATGAAGTGGAAAATCATGACAATGATGTTAGCAATGTTGATGTTGAAACTGATGTTGAGACTCAAACTAAACAAAGTGCTGTTATTGATGATATCAATCCGGAGGACAGTGCCTCTAACATTTCAGGTCATTTCATCCACCGCATCTGCCAGGCTAAAAGCAGAGGCTGATAAAGCAGCAATAGCTTGGTTTCACGTGATGTCACACCGTTGCGTTCCTTTGGCGCGAAATTCCATTGGAGGTCAGGAAGTAATTTTCTACAGAGGATCTAGCTGCTGTTACCATTGTGAAAATGCCGATGTGTTGTGTAGTTTACGGTTGTTCCAATCGATCCGGCCGAGAGAAAAACAAGAGGTTTTACCGAGTGCCGAAGGTTGTCGTCCATAAAGCTGAGCAATTTATGAAGCTAACCGAAGAACGCCGGAAAAAATGGCTTTCAAACCTACATCTGCGGTCGGGAGGAGCAGAGTCGTCTAATGCACGGGTCTGCAGCGACCACTTCATCAGAGGTATTAGCTAACTTGGTTTTTGTGGCTTTGTTTAGGTATTATTGGGTTGTGGTTAAATGCGTATTTACTTAGTAATACTGATCATGTTTAAGTTACCTGTAGTCTAATATGGACTTTGTTGGGACTTTTTAGGGTGCCCTAGCGCTTTGGGTGACGTTGAGTCGGTAGACTGGGCTCCCACTGTTAGCCTCGGTTACCACACAACAAGTAAGCCCAGATCAGAGGCATCTCTTCGACGAGAGCAGAGGATGGAGCTCAAGGAAGACCAACAAAGACAATCAGAATGTGCAGAGGCTTTGTTGGATCTCCTGCAGACAACCGAGAGCCCAGAACCGACGCAGCCCCCGTCTGACAGCCCACAGCCAGAGGACACCAGTGGGATATTAAATGACCAACAAGGTAAATTAACCACCAGCATTATTATTAAATATTACAAATGTGATTGTCAGAAAATCAATGCAAACTTTGAATTAGGTTTAGAAAATAGAGCACTAATTTGAGAATCTGCATGTCTGTAAAAAGGTTGTCAAAAAGATAACTTCACAAAAATTCACATTCATATTTGACTATTTTAAATAACTAATTATGCTTGCTACTGCTATATTGTATGCAGATGCAGGATACCAGACTGATTTAATGATGGAGGACATCGAGAGGATGGAGGATGTTCTGAGACAGAACACAACAGAGCTGGGAGATCTTCGGACAAAGGCACTGGACACAAAGTTCAACCAGGAGTCCTTTGAGAACAACGAAGAGAAAACAAAGTTTTACACCGGGCTCCCCAACTTCTTAGTTTTACTTCAGGTTTTTCAACTGTGCGAGCCCTACATCACCTGTGGCCCTATGTCTGTACTCATCCAAATTTGAACAGTTCATTTTAGTTTTGCTGAGGCTGAGACTAAATCTCCCTCTGAAAGATTTGGCTTTCAGGTTCAACATCTCTCTCTCCACTGCTTCTAGAATTTGGCATAAGTTAATTGACATACTTCACGAGAGTACAGAATTTATAATTGAGTGGCCAGAGCGACATGTACTTCAAGCTACAATGCCAATGGGATTCAGACAGGCATTTGGATGTAGAGTTGCTGTGATTGTTGACTGTTTTGAAGTTTTTATTGAGAGGCCCTCTAATTTACTAGCTAGAGCACAAACATGGTCCAACTACAAGCATCACCATACTGTTAAATTTCTGATTGGTGTTGCTCCCCAAGGCTATGTTACCTACATATCTTGTGCCTGGGGAGGAAGAGTTAGTGATAAACAGATCACAATACAGAGTGGGCTCCTAAAAAACCTGTTACCTGGAGATATTGTCCTAGCAGACCTTGGGTTCGATATTGCCGATAGTGTGGGATTTTACTGTGCTTCACTAAAGATGCCTGCATTCACCAGGGGGAAAAGTCAGCTGTCAGCATACGAGGTGGAAGAGACAAGAAAAATAGCTAATGTTTCATGTTGAAAGAGTCATAGGATTAGTCAGAAGAAAATATCAGATTCTGCAAAGCAGGGCTGTGCCCATAGAGCACATGCTAACAAAACCAGGTGAGGCACTAGCATTAATTGACAAGATTGGGGTTATTTGCTGTGCCTTGTCTAATCTGTCAGTGTCTGTCGTCCCATTGGAGTAAAGTCATGGAGCTGTAGTCTTGTAAATAAGAAACCATGTATTATTCAGTATCATTTAATCTTTTCAGTAAACATCTTTTTGTGTTCAAACATCTTGTGTTCAAGTCTTTTCAGTAAACATCTTTTTGTGTTGAAAATTGTATAGCCCTACTCAATATACAACTTTCATCTACATTCAGGCTTAATTCATTCAACAATATTCTAGAGATGACAATTGGTCTGGTGACGCTCCCATGTATGGCCATTGAGGGTTATTGTAAATGTAAATAAGAAACCATGTATTATTCAGTCTTAGTATCATTTAATCTTTTCAGTAAACATCTTTTTTACAATAGCAATATATCACACAGCCCTACTTCCTCTAGTGAGTGTGGTCAGTGAATATGAAGGTGCTGTAATGCAGGTTAAAGAGCTGCCACTGTGCAAATGTTACGTTCCCTTGTAAATATAGGGGTACAAAGGGAAGTAGCGACACACAACATAACCGGCCGAGAGAAAAAGGAGAGGAAACTGATCTCTGACGCCATAAAGTGGTCTTTTAATTAACACAACGAAAAAGGGCTCACCAGCCAACTTGTCAAACAAAGCTTAAGATAAGGGGAGAGCGACTGCAACCTTCCTCATGTCCTATATGGAGGCGCTGATTGGAGATTGGGAGCACCTGGGGAGATCAGAGGGAGAGCGAAAAAGACACCCACACACACCCAAACACCAGCACCCACTACGGCACGTAATAATAATGCAACAAGGAGAGAACCACAACTTCCGGGACCAGGACAGACCACAGGTGCTGGTAATCACGCCTTCTCTCCCTCCTGATCATCTTGCAACTGAAACTGAAAAATGGAACAGCAGACAGGGAGAGGAGGCTTTTAGTCACCTGATAGTTATGCACTAACATGTTCTTGTGGAAAAAAATGAGCACACCAACTCTTTATGACTTTTACCTTTCCCCTTGTAAGTTGCTGTCCCAACACTTCAGGGAGAACACATAGTCTGAAGAAACGCTCAACTCTGGGAATGATGTTGTCCCACAGGTCCACATCACGCACAATTCTCTCTACAAAGAGGTCATTTTTAGTCCAGACAACAAAGTCGCAGTAGTCAACATCAACGAGGTGGAGCTGAGCCTGTATTTGATGGTAGTAGGCATGTCTCCTGTCCAGCTTCACAGTGCCCCCATCGTTGACGAGACAGAAGCCCTGTTCTCCAGCACACAGGCGAAGATTGGCCTCGCCTCCTCTTGGGGAATTTCTGCTCAAAGTCTTGAAAAACTGCATATACCTCTCTGATCCTCGCTCCAATTTTGAACCCTGGACTGTGGGACGCTGAAATGTGTGCTTCTCACCTGTCCTTCCAGCAATGGCATCATCCAGTTTTTGCTTTTTGGATTTTGCGGATGAAAAGTCTATCATCGCAACTGGAGCAGCAGGAATCTGCACATGTGAGAGACAGACCAACATGTATGTGAACATACATGTAGGTGCAGTGTAACAATGAGACAGGCAAGGACGGCATGAACAGCTGACTGACCACTGGGGTCTGAATACCTTTTTGACATGTGATGGCATTAGCCACTTGCACTTCTCAGTGGTGCAGGATGCAGTCTCTCTCATCTTCACACCTGCTTCGATTGCAAACAGAACTGCTCCAACATGTGAGCAGGATTCTGACAAACTGTATAGACAGAGACATACTAGAATAACTAGATTGATCGTAAAAGCTAGTAATGGTATAACATGAATATTATAGCCGGCATTATTTTGTCTGAGCTTAAGTGTTGTGTCAAATATGCTTTGGGTTGGGATATTTATTTTATGACTTACCCAGCCATACAGTTACAGTGTGCTGTAACAACCTCCATCTTCTTTAGCTACAATCCACGTTTTTAATGGTGTTTCTCCAGACCTCTGGGAATGGTTGACCTACACAATTGAAGCTCCAGTTCACAACTTGCGAGTTGGTAACATACATTTAACAACATCACAAGCAACACATAACCAGATGGTCTTGGTAAAGAGGTTGTTTTTAATATTAACCTCAACATAGAGTGATATAAACAACGTGCAGGCTGTTCAAAGGCTCTGAGCTGTCTATACACACAAAACACAATATATCCTAAGCTAAACACATACACATAACAAACATACACATATATACACACACAACACACTCACAGGCCAGATAATGCTGAAGGCAAGGCGACAGCCGTAACACTGCCTTACATGAGTCCATGTAGCTAAAGTTAGCTAGCTAGATGTCTCCTAATAATGCTACTTAGAGGTAAGAAGGTATAGGTAGTTAACACTCACCCGGGCAAAAACAAGGCGACATTTGTTTAATGCCTCTTTGGTGCCGAGGTCATTCACCCATCCACACACGAAGTAGTTGAAAGCTTCCAGGCTTTTATACACTTTCATCTGGCTAGCCGTGTAGTAGGAGGTATGAAGGACGAGGTAGCTGGTGATATCCATCGCATCAACAGCGGGCAAATCGGATAAATCACGAGAAAAGTCGTTTTTTTTCAGCTGATACGGATCGTATCCGATGTGTGCTGTGATTTTTTCACGATATCTGCGGCGTGCAGGTTCATTTAATTGTTTGACATAGTCGGTGTCCTCCATGATTCCTGCGTTGATGAATGATTGCGTTTTCACTTCCTGACCTCCACTTGAATTTCGCGCATCATAGAAGTCACGTGACTGAAACCAAGCTATTGTGGAGCGCATGAAGGCTTTAAAAAGAAAACATCAGTTGGAAGCAAAGGAGGAGGAACTAAGAAAAGAAAAAGAGGAACTAAGAAAAGAAAAGGAACAGTTTGCTCTGGAGACCGAGCTAGCTGCAACTAATGCCAAAATCAATGTTCTGGAAACTCGCTCAAATTGCAGCTCCAAAAGGGATGGAATGAACTCTTATCTGGAAAGGAACAAGGCTCAGAGTACAAGGCAACTCAATCCTCAGGCTAATCAATTTGTCCCACAGAGAAATGACAAAAATAACATGCAAAATGAATTTCACCCTAATGCCCAGGCTGTCAGTGTTACAGATGGACCTCAGACCACTATACACTCAAGCACCAACACAGGTGGTTCATGATGCTCAACAGACAAGACGAGCATCCTCCTTGAATATGACATGCAATAATGACACCCAAAATGACATTGTGTATATCATGCAACGCCAAACTGACATCACTACAATGTTAGTCCAGCAAAATGTAGCATCCTCCCTACCAGTGAGAAATATACCCACATTTGATGGTGATCCTCTTCAGTATCATTCTTTCATCAGATCCTTTGAAAATTGAGGTTAAAACTGATAATGCAAGTGATTGTTTACATTTCTTGGAGCAGTTCACCAGGGGGCAACCAAGAGACCTGGTGAAAAGTTGTCAGCACCTACCCTCTGTTTAAGGATACCAAAGAGCCAAATCCCTGCTTGCTGAACATTTTGGTAATTAATACAAAATTGCTTCTGCTTATATGGACAAAATTGATAGCTGGCCTCTGGTTAAAGCAGAAGATGTCAAATCACTGAAATCCTTTTCCCTGTTCTTACGGGAATGCTCAAATTTAACACAACGAATCATGCACACGAATGAGTTGGACATGCCATCAAACCTCAGAAACATCATGATGAAGCTTCCTTATAAGGTGAGGGAGAAGTGGAGGAGCCATGCATGTGATTTGCAGGAGAGACGTGGTTGCAGAGCACTATTCATTGACCTTGTGAACTTTGTTGAAAAACAAGTTAGAATTGCCTCTGACCCACTGTTTGGAAATATTCAGGACTCAAAATGTACCAGCTGCAACAAACAACCCACTGTCAGTGAACTAGGGCTGCACGATTTTGGGAAAAAAAAATCTAATTGCGATTTTTCTGACAAATATTGCGATTGCGATATTTATTTTTAAGCAACCCAACGGAAGTTTATTGTAAAATGGGGCCATAACTCCGGCTAGGAAGGTCGTATCAACGTGCTCCCGTCTCTAGCACCCCCGCAGCCCGAGCTACGAGTGAAATAACTAAACTTACATGAAACTTCCGTTGAGTTGCTTTAAAGTCAAGCTTCAGTTTAAGATTCACCCTGTAATAGATGTAGAACATGTGATGGAGCATTACTAACCTGACTCAGATGCTTTGTTTCACCAAACCATATAGGAGAGCTCCATTGGAAGCCATTTGGAAAGGGCAGGCACTTTCAAAAATACTTGGCAGGTGATTGGATCAATCTGTCTATCACCTTCTATCATGGGCCACTTCTGATTGATTAACAATGGCTGGTACATGTGGAGCACAGCACTTCTGATTGGTGTGGATGACTGACACAAAAGATGAAAAAAAAAAGAATTGTAAAAAAAAAAAAAAGTTAAAAAAAATCGCAGGCTTTGCGATTTGATAATCGCATCATTTAAAATCGCGATTTCGATTTAAAATCGATTAATCGTTCAGCCCTACAGTAAACCAAGGCATAGGAAACAGGGCACCTTTTCCACCGGTGTCACTGCAATGAAAGAAAGAAACAAAGGCTACATGGATAATAAGATCAAGTCCTTTTCTGCCCAAAGTCACAACAAATGCTGTTTATTCTGCCAACAAACCAGCCACTCACTGGAAAAATGCTCACAGTTTAAGTTAAAGACACAAAAGGACAAGATACATTTCATAAAGGAGCATGGAATTTGTTTTGGTTGCTTGAAACGGGGACACATAAGCAAAGACTGCAGGAGTTGATTGGATTGCAGTGTGTGTCAGCAAAAGCATCCTTCATTCCTTCACATTGAGCAGAAGGGTATAAGTACACCTTTTAATGAAGCACAAGAACCTGTGAGCACTCTGAGTGTAACATCTGGTCAGTCTCAAACATGTGGCCATATAGGGGCTGGAGATGAGTGCAATGCTGTGTTTTCGATTGTTGCAGTTCAAGTGAAAAGCCAAATGAGTGACAGAGTTGTACAGACCTATGCATTTTTGTATCCGGGGAGTTCCGGTACCTTTTGCACTTATAGCCTTGCAAAGAGATTGGAGCTAAGTGGCAAGCCAGACAGTATTCTATTGCAAACAATGGGGCAAAAGAAAATTGTGAGTACCAATGTATTGTCTCACTTGGAAGTGTCTGGCATGGATACAGATGATTTTATTGAATTGCCCAATGTCTTAACCCAAAGAGTTATGCCAGTGTCACGTGTGAATAGTGCTGCGTACCTGGACTCACATTCAGGTTCAGGTCCGGACTCAAGTCCAGAGGTTCAGGTTCAGGTCCAGACTTATAAGTCTAGACTTGTGTCAAGTTGTGTGACTAAAGTGAACTTATTGTGAGCTAATTATCAATTGAAAATAAACTCACAATCAACTCTAATTCAAACTGGTCAGGTTTATTGTGCTCCCTTCCAACTTGTGTCTACATTTCTCTACAAAGTACAAATATAAAAAAAAAACTTTTTGCCACTTAGTCTACAAATGACTTATGACAGCAACTACAGTGGACTACTACAAAGTTCAAACATTTATTTCATTTACCAAACTAAAGTAACCGAACAGTCCCTGAGCTGACTGAGCTTAAATCCCTAAAACTTTGCTGAAAGGTAGAGTGTAGAGTAGACTATACGCATTACACTGTTACACACCTACTATACAGTATACACTGTAGTGACTGTACAGTCAGAGTGTACTGTACTGTCTGTACACCATGTATTTTCTACAACTCTACATGTGTACATTATACAGTACATACGACATACATAGTGATGTACATACATACTGGTCAAAATTCAAATCAATGTTGATATGGTGGTGAGTTGGGTCGAGTGGCGGGGGAAGCCTCTGGATAGACCTGGTAAGCCCAAACGTGTAGTGCGGGTGAACTGGGAACGTCTGGAGGAGGCCCAAGTTCAGGAGGCCTTCAACTCACACCTCCGGCGGAGCTTTTCGGGCATTCCTGTGGAGGTTGGGGACATTGAACCAAAGTGGTCGGTGTTCAAAGCCTCTATTGCCGAAGCGGGGAGCTGTGGTCTCAAGGTCCTAGGTGCCTCAAGGGGCGGTAACCCTCGAACCTCCTGGTGGACACCGGTGGTCAGGGAAGCCGTCCGACTGAAGAAGGAGGCCTTCAGGGATTTGTTATCCCGGGGGACTCCCGAGGCAGTTGCAAGGTACCGACAGGCCCGAAGGACAGCAGCCTCATCCGTGGCCGAGGCAAAGCAGCGGGTGTGGGAGAAGTTCGGAGAAGGACTTTCGGGCGGCACCAAAGTTATTCTGGAAAACTGTCCGACACCTGAGGAGGGGGAAGCAGGGAACCATCCAAGCTGTGTACAGTAAGGATGGGACGTTGTTGACCTCAACTGATGGAGTGTTAGGGCGTTGGAAGGAACACTTTGAGGAACTCCTGAACCCGACAACTCTACCCTCTATGTTAGAGGTAGAGCTGGAATATGACGGGGGATCAACACCAATCTCCCGGGGGGAGGTCACTGAGGTCATCAAACAACTCCACTGTGATAAAGCCCCGGGGGTGGATGAGATCCGCCCAGAAATGCTGAAGGCTCTGGGTGTTGAGGGACTGTCATGGTTGACACGTCTCATCAACATTGCGCAGAAGTCGGAAATAGTACCGAAGGACTGGCAGACCGGGGTGGTGGTTCCCCTTTTTAAAAGGGGGATCAGAGGGTGTGTGCCAATTACAGAGGGAGGGGGTCTGCAGTTCGGTGGACTAAGGATTGCACCACTGCTTTTTCAGATGATGTGGTTCTGATGGCTTCATCGGTCTGCGACTTTCAGCACTCACTGGATCGGTTCGCAACCGAGTGTGAAGCGGCTGGGATAAGGATCAGCACCTCCAAATCTGAGGCCATGGTTCTCAACAGGAAACCAAAGGACTGTCCTCTCCAAGTAGGGAATGAGTCCTTACCCCAAGTGAAGGAGTTCAAGTATCTCGGGGTCTTGTTCTCGAGTGAGGGAACAATGGAGCGTGAGATGGGCCGGAGAATCGGAGCGGTACTGCAGTCGCTTTACCGCACCGTTGTGACGAAAAGGGAGCTGAGCCAGAAGGCAAAGCTCTCTGTCTACCGTGCAATTTTCGTTCCTACCCTCACCTATGGTCATGAAGGATGGGTCATGACCGAAAGAACGAGATCGCGGATACAAGCAGCCGAGATGGGTTTTCTCCGCAGGGTGGCTGGTGTCTCCCTTAGGGATAAGGTGAGAAGTCCGGTCATCCGGGAGGGACTCGGAGTTGAGCCGCTCCTCCTTCGTGTCGAAAGGAGCCAGTTGAGGTGGTTCGGGCACCTAGTTAGGATGCCACCTAGGCGCTTCCCTAGGGAGGTGTTCCAGGCACGTCCAGCTGGGAAGAGACCAAGGGGTAGACCTAGGACCAGGTGGAGGGATTATATCTATTCGCTGGCCTGGGAGCGCCTTGGGATCCCCAAGTCAGAGCTGGTTGATGTGGCCAGGGAAAAGAAAGTTTGGGGCTCTCTGCTGGAACTGCTACCCCCGCGACCTGACCACGGATAAGCGGGAGAAGATGGATGGATGGTTGATATGGCGTAATTTGAATTAAATACACTATTTAATTTAAATCAGTTTTATTCAGAAAAAAACGGAAGTTCACACTATTAACTTAATACTTTTTTTCTGAAAATTCTTCACTTCCGGTTAGCATTGGCATGTGGCGAAATGCTACGTTTTCAAACCGTGAATCGAAGGTGAAATTACATGTGATGTTGTACACTAAGCACACTGGGATTAACACTCATTTATTGACGCTGAATAACGTTTATCAGGGAATGTTTAAATAACCACAGACACCAGAATGATATAATTTAGCAACAGAAAAAGGCAGGAATTGCATTGGACCCGCCCCCCCGACGACGCCGGACAATAGGAGAAGACCTCAGATGACAACAGGAAGAGCAAGCCAAGAGTTGATCTCTTCTACCTGCTGACCTGGGCTGACGGGAGACGAGGAGAGCGCCTCCTTTTGCAATTTCTGCAATTGTTTGCAGCTGTTTCGTCCCCCAGCTGCGCCAATTACGCCTTGAGGCGAACTGCAGAGGACAATGCAGCTCACTTCCCTCCTGAAGTGATCAAAACAGTCAATCACAACTGTTATGTAGACGACTGCCTGAAGTCTACAGCCTCGGAGGGAGATGCAATTAAGCTTGTAAAGTATTTGACTCTGCTCTGTAGTCAGGGAGGATTGCAGAGAAGGCAATCATTCATTTTGTTCAGAAACACAGGTTCAAAATTGAAATTGCCTCCCTCAAACATGGCTCAAATATTGTCTCTAAGGACAGTCCACTGTACAAGCTAGACCCCATACTGGAGGATGACATTCTCAGAGTTGGTGGTCGTTTGCACAAGTCTGCATTACCATCAGAAACAAACCATCCTGTTATTCTTTCCAAAGACCTGCATGTCTCCCAGCTCATTTTACGCCATATTCATCAACAACTAGGACACGCTGGGAGGAACCACATGTTGTACAGACTTCGACAGAGGTATTGGATAATTAATGCCAATTCAGCTGCAAGAAAGACCATTACAGAATGCATGGTGTGTAGACGGCACAGAGGAAAACTTGGGGAACAGAAGATGGCAGACCTGCCTGAAGAGAGTTGTGCCAGACAAGGCTGCTTTTACTACAGTGGGAGTTGATTATTTTGGCCCCATAGAAGTGAAAAGAGGAAGAAGTCTTCTAAAAAGGTATGGAGTGATTTTCACTTGTCTGACCAGCCGTGCAGTACACCTGGAGGTGGCACATTCCCTTGATACAGACTCTTGCATTAATGCCTTGAGGAGATTCATTTGCAGAAGAGGCCCTGTGTCAAGTTTAAGATCTGACAACGGCACAAATTGTGTTGGAGCAAACAAGGAGTTGAATCAAAGTCTTGCTGCTTTGAATAATGCAAAGATCCAGGATGCCCTAATTCAGGATGGAATTAAGTGGAGCTTTAATACGCCAACAGCCTCACACCAAGGTGGCTTTTGGGAGCGTCTCATTCGATCAGTAAGGAGAATACTGACCTCTGTTCTTGGACAACAGGTTTTGGATGATGAAGGCCTGCAGACACTGCTTTGTGAAGTAGAGGCGATACTAAACGACAGACCCCTAACAAAAGTGTCTGATGACCCTAATGACCTCGAGGCCCTCACCCCAAACCATGTTCTTCTGCTGAAGGGAATACCCATCTTTCCCCCTGGACTCTTTGAAAAGAGTGACCTGTACATCAGAAGGAAATGGAAGCAAGTACAGTATATCGCAGAGTTGTTTTGGAAAAGATGGACATCTGAATACTTACTTGTGATGCAAGAAAGACAGAGATGGGCAGCCCCAAGAAGAAACTTCTCCCCAGGAGATATTGTCATCATTGCCGATGCTACAGCTCCAAGAGGATCCTGGAAGATGGGTCGAGTTGTGAGTACCAAGTCTGACTCCAAAGGATTGGTCTGCTTTGTGTGCATCCAAACCAAAACCAGCGTCTTGGAGAGACCTGTGACGAAGATCTGCCTGCTGGTGGAGGCCACAGAATAAGATCATGGACAATTCTATCTATTTTCTCTTCCTATCCTGTCTTCTTACCATCTGTTTATCTTTCAGTGGCTACAGAGAAGGTGACACAGAAGACACTATGGCTCATGGATAGAGAGAATGGCTCCCTTATATGTTTTACATAAGGGTAATTGTGATTCTCACAATTAGGGGCCGGAATGTGGAAGCTTTTCAGTATTTTTAACATTTATTTAATGTATTTATTTGTTATTTTTGGTTTTGTAAAATTCATTAATTTACAGCCATATTATTTAAGTTGTGTTCCAGCTAAAATGCTTTTATTTTGAAGGTGATGGGTAAATGTTCGCACACAGCTGGGTTTATTTAAGTCAATCAGGGCACAGCAGCAGTCTGTGGGCACCGGGAAGGTCTATGGTTTTTTACCAGTATCAGGGCTGAGTTCAGCAAATATTTCAACACCTTTTGCTGTATTGTTCTTGCCAAGGTGAAGCTAATAAATACCACAAAAACGTTGATGCCTTGTCTGGACAATGGACTCATTACCAACTCATGATATGCGTAAGATCCACTATACCTGGTGCCTCAGTGGCCTTTTGAAGTTGTATTGTTGTTGACAAATAGCCACTACAGGTAATATTTAAAGAGCCTTTGACAGCCTCCCAACAACTGTTGTGCAATGAAATAGTTGGCTACTAGTAATCTCGAACCGTCAGTTTAAAAAAGAAGGTGCGATACCGTTCCGATAAATATCAATAATTTCGAACATCGCGGGGAAATTCCTTCGACTCATTTTGAAGTTTTGGGCGAAGCCGGAAGTGACGTCAATGCGTGAACGCTTCACTGTGCGGCGAGAGAGCCAAACACGGACAAAGTGTGTTGTCATGTGTAGAAATGGTGAATTACTGAGTTTAGGCACGTTAATAACGTTTTAATGAAGTTGACTACAGTATATTCATATTTGTCAGTGCTTTCATGTCAATTCGGCGAACATAAACATAAATAATCGTGGTGAAGATGATGATTAAATTAGGATTACAAATCGGTAGTGAGAGCTTCTGAATTTCCTCCCGTCGGATGTGATATAAAAACAAATCGATTATTTTTGTAGTTGTAAACTCAAGTGGATGAAACTACATTTATTAGTGCTTTCATGTCAATTCGGCGAACATATGATACATGAAATGATCGTGAGGATGATTTAAAAATCGTTTGAGCCGGTCTGCATTTCCTGATGAGTAAACAAACCGATGCTTTTTGTAGTACACCAACATGCATTAAACGTGTGTTTTTTTTACCACAATGTTGGGGAAATTAATGGATAAAATGCACGGATTATTATTATTATTATTCCCACTCCGATCGGGACACTAGGTCCACCGTTTCCTGGCTGGGTGCAGTGGTGGACTGCCCATCGGGACGAATCCCGATGGGCCGGTACCGAAGTGGGCCAGTCGGATAAGTCACTAGCACATCCCCCACTCCCCCCATTGACAATTTACTAGCGGTACCGAAGTGGGCCGGTCGAGAGTCCCGGGATGATTTTTAGTCCCAGTCCACCACTGGCTACATGACCATATGATCGCCCATATTGACGCACCTAATTCCTAAACTTCTAACAGATACAACATAAACCGATCCTACAGCCTCATATGAGCTCTCAGACACGTTCAAAATTAAACTGTCATCGCTGTCTGAGCTTGCTGCTGTGTGCGCCATCGTGCGTTTACATGCAGATGCTGGGATCCTGAACGGTGCAGCTGGAGCGCTGTGCCCGCAATGACGTCACACATAATTTGGCGGGACTTGAAGAATCCCAGAGAAGATCCAGAAAATGGTCAACATTGAAGGGCAGATTAATGGTTATCAAAGTACAAATATCCAAAATCAGTTCAGTAACGGTTTTCATAGGGACAATATTTACTCAAATTGATGGGTTTGGATGATGGGGGAAATTCGTGTCACAGGCTCTTTAAATCAGTACATTAAATGGCATATTATTCAATCCATGTATTTTTATTAATGCTGTCAAAATTATCGCGTTAACGGCGGTAATTAATTTTTTGAATTAATTGCGTTAAAATATTTAACGCATTTAACGCATGTGCAGAATGGCCCGCCCCATACCTCCCACCAGTGGCAGCGCCAGGGTATGGCTGGGGTAGGCTACACCCATACCAAGAAATGGCTTAGTCCCACCATGAAAAATGATGTTAAAGTAAGCAAAATAAAGTCCGCCAACTCGCGGAGTAAATTGCACAGACAGCAGTTAGTAAGATTGATTTCAGTAGCCTATTGTCTGGAAATACCGAAGACCAGAAACGGTTTTGAAAACTTTTGTCACGTAGTGATCGTCTTCTCAATAGAACATCTTTGATCATGTCTTCTGGCCAATCAGAATCACGATAACGGCGTGGTGTTGTTGCAGGAAGTCCCGACGGAGCAATACTTTTGCTGTAGTACATCTCTATATACATCCATTCTTTCACACACACATACGGGTATTGGGCCTAGGGCGACACCGTACTTCCAATATCCGCCGTTTTACGCTAGGTGCAAGCAGCTGTATACCGTCTAGGTGTTGCTAAGCTTCCTGTACTGAATATCATAGTCTATTGCCTTAATCAATATCTAATCAACTCTAAAATACCACATATATGCAATGGCATGATAATATTATTGTGACAAGTGGGGTATTCACCTGGTGTTTCCAGAAACAGGCATGAAAACAGGTCAGGGGTGAAAAAGGTGAGAAGGATATTATCCCTCTTGGGGGGTCCGGGGGCATGCTCCCCGGAAGCACATTTTGAATATTCCATATTTTAAAGCAACAATAGGATGCATTTTGAGTATATGAGGCACAATGTGGTAAGGGATTAATGCAAATGGCTTAATGCATATGCAGATGGTGGACATGCTGTAACTTAACTTGTCTACTCTTCCACCATCACTGACAGCCAATACAATGTTATGTAATTCAGATTTTAATACATTTTATTGGCAAAGATAGCCTAAAACACACAATACAGTGGTTTCCAGCATTATCAAAACATTAAACACTTAAACACTTTTCAAGGGATAGTGATATATTATTTTAAATCCGTTAAGGTCAACATAGAAAAGGAACACAATCAATCTTGTTTTGTACAAAATACTGAATGAAAGGGAGAGGAAAGGGATGTGATACTGTAGTTACAGCTGAAACACTCCCTCCTGAGACTTAAGGACACAGTTCGTAATACTCTCAGAACCAGATCTAATTTTTTCTTCTTTGCCTGGACCACCAGTGTCTCCATGGCCCGCTTTCGCTGTTTTGCCACATGTTTCAGCCTCGCCCTTTTCTCTTCTTCAGCAGTCTGTTTCTTGGCCTGCTGAGCACTGCCAGATGCTTGGGAGCCATACTTGCTCTGTTGCTGCTGCTTTTCTTTCGGATTCATCTTCTGCTGGCGTTTGTATGTGGCTGCTGCAGACTTGATGTTCTTGCATAGTGTTCTGTCCACCTCCCCGAACTTCACATCCTCCATTCTGAAGAGCTGCACGGCTGTCTTCCCCCTGGACTGCAGGGTGTACTTGACCGTCTGGATTGCATTACATTTTGGTACATTCATGTTGCCACTCCTTTGGTCAATTATTTCATTCATCAAACTAAAAGAAGACTCAACCCTTGGTCCGTGAAAGATGGAGAGGCAACATTTAACCATCGCACTCAGGGAGGGGTACTTATCTGGCTTGTCAAAGACATGACCCCACCACTCAACCATGCTCTCACCCTCCTTGAAACTGGGGATGGTCAGGTCAACATTGAACCGCACAAGTTCTCTCTGGATGTCCTGGTCTGCTGGCAAGAGGTGCCGCAGCATACCACTCAGCCTGCCAAGAAATGGATGAGAATTTGAAATCAGTTTAAGGACATGAGGTAACAAAAATCGTTAAATCCCAAAGTACCTGGTAATATGGCAAAAAAAAATTTAAATGTTATTCTTACCTCTTAAGCTGGATGGTTGCCTGTGAGTGGCCTCTCAGAAGAGGGTCCAGAGCAGACAGGGCTGTAAGAGTCGGACTAGCCAAGGGGAGCTTCTTCTGGAGGTACACTGCAGTGGTGATGTAGGCTTCCCTGACTTCTGCTAGGAATGGCACCAACAGCTGACACAAAACACCAAAAACTGACCATTATTTTAAGTATCAAAAACAATTGAGAAAAAAGGTCATGCAGGTGATGCAGGGTACTTACAGCATGATTGGGATTCTGGCTCCTGAACGTCTCAGCCTCCTGTCCCACATAGACCTCCTTGGAGGGCAGCAGCATATGATCCTCCAGGACCATCTCCCTCAGAGCCCTGGGAGACAGCTGTGTAAGGGAAGTAATTAATGGGAGTAATACCTTAAGTGCCTTTCAAAAGACCCCAGGTTGCTTAACAAAAAAGGAAACACTCAACTGATAGCACAGACAACAGAAAAGTAAAAATAGGGATAAAATCAATATACTAATGTAGGCAGAGTGGGTGTGAGGAGGAGTTAATTACCTGAGTAATGTATTCGGCCTTCACGAAGCAAGCCATGAAGGCCAGGAACAGCTCAAGCTGCCGATCATGAAGTTTGTGAACCAATGTCTGGCTACCCTGTGTATGTAAAACAAATTCTTATGAAATTGATTGATTGCCAACATTGGATTTGCATGCACGTGCAGTCAAGTTGCAGTAATTCCAAGCACAACTAACACCCACCTGGAAAACCATGACATACTCCTTGAGAATAGCCAGCAAACCCATGTAGATGCTGAGCCGTAAGACTGTTGTCATCTCCTCATGCCACAGCTTCTGACATACCCTCTTTTTTCTCTCACGGCCTTGTGGAGTCATGCCTGTGAAACACAATACATATTCCTCCTCATTAGTAACTTCAAAACAAGTATAAGTGCTAATTATTATAAGGGATTGGAACATCAAGTCTCATCACCTTTCCTGTTGAGTTCCTCCTGAACCACCTTGATACAGGCTCTTCCCGCCTGGTTGACGTGGTACGTGGTGTACATCAGTTCCAAAGGCTCCCTATACAGCTCCTTATCTGCAGTGGAGAGGAAGCCATAATAGAGGACTCTGTACGCAGGCATCATGGCATGGGTTGCCATGCTGGCATCGTATGCAGACAGCCAGCGATGACGAACAAAGCCCCTCTGTGGGCTGGAGGCGGGGAGATTTAGAATCATAGCTATCTCCTTGAGGTACATCACCTGACAAAAGACAGAAAAAGAATTTGAAAGAGACACATACATAGACATTCTACACATTCCATAGTTTTACCACAGTACAGTACAGTAGGGCCAGCAGCCATGGTCTAGACTAGAGCTGCATTTTGTTTACCTGGTCTGGACTCCACTGATGGTCAACCTGGAGATCACTGAACAGCTTCTCCAAGTAGCTGTCAAAGGGCTCTGAGAACTTCTTTGCCGCATTGTGTATATGATGACAGGAGTCCCCATCAACATCGAGCAGGTTGGGACAGTATTGGTGCATCCTGATCTCGAGGCCGGTCTTGCTGCCCTTCATCACAGCACACGAGTCCATCAGCATACTCACAAGGTTATTCCACGGGATGTTGTTTTTCTCAAAGAACTCACAGAGCACCTTCTCTAAAGAAGCAGCATTCAACTTCACAATCTCCAAGGACCCCAAATGCTCCACTATCACCTTCCTCAAGTCTGCATGATAGTAGCAAACGAGCATGGAGAGGATCTTCAACATAAAAAGGTTTATTAGCCATGCAACATTTTACAGGGCATACACTGAAGCAAAAACAGATGGACTTTGATGGCAATAGCTTAATATGAGACCAACCTTTTTGTTGTTGTTGGAGGTACTCTCGTCTAAATTTAACGAAAAGGGAAATATCTTCATGTTGGAAAAGGTCCTCTCAGAGTAGGTCCGCCCTACACAAAGTCGGACAGATTTGTCACATCACATGCATAATCTAATTCGGTACAATATAAATCATACAACAGGTAATTCTGGCAACATAGCAGTATATATAGCAACATGGTAGTTTAAGGAACATGTTTTATGTGCGCAGTTCACTAAAATGGAAATTAAAACACTGAAATAGTAGGTAAGAAAGAAAATGTAAATACCTAGACCATGGATCATCTTGTATGAAGCTGTCGTCCGCGACAGCTTCATTCCCTGCAAAGCTGGTTTATCCAAGGAAAGGGTCTGGGCAAGCTCAACAATTACAGGAGCCATAGAAAACGGGATGGAATGCTCCGCCAAGGTTCCAAGGACCATTGCCTAGAACACAAATTATGTAATTAATGTAAAGCTAGTGTATTCCATGTTTAGGTGATGATGCTGTCAGTGACCGGAGCTGATTGTGAATAATAATAATAATAATAATAATAATAATAAATGATTATTGTTATAATAAAAATAACAATCTCAAAGTGCTAGTGTACTCTGTCTATGCTGCCTAACAGGCCTACACCACCTACTTCTTAGACCTATTTATATCTTAGACTGCACTGTAACTTTTATCCATGTATTTTTTCTTTTAATGTTTATTTTATTAGCTTTTCTTTTTGTAAAGCACTTTGAATTGCCTTGTGTTGAAAAGTGCTATATAAATAAACTTGCCTTGCCTTGCCTCACCTCTGCATTTGCTATGCGGTTTATAACTGGTACGGGCATCTTTCCCTGGCACTGCTGCCTGATTGTTTCTGACCCCTGGTTGGCTTGACTCTGGCTTGCTGGATTCACCCTGGCTGATGCTGGAAGGAAGCTGCTGGCAACACTATGAGTGGAAGCTATCATCTGCACCTTCTTCTTGTGAACTTCCGTCTGGCAGTGAGCCTGCAGAGCATGGCTGCCTTTGTTAGCATAATTGATCTCTTTGTGGCAGAGTATGCATCTGGCGAATCCCTGCCTGTTGATTTAGATGAATACATCTCCTAGATGAAAGGACACCCCTCGCTCTTTTACTGAGACCTTGCCTTCCAGTTTTAGCCACGACCAGTTCCAGCTGCATTTCAATCCAGCATCTAGCTGTTTAACAATGGCTGAATCCTTCTCCCCTAACACACTCATTCTGCAAAAAATAATGTTTGTATTAGTGTTAGCACTAACTTCTAGTTTAGCCTTATTGATAGAACGGTGGACCACTTTACCCTTCAGCCTTGTCAGTCCCCTCACCTCAAAATCATCAACACATCCTGGAAAAACGAGTTGTAGAGATTTTAGAAAATAGCACTAACATTAACCAGTTTTTATTTTTTGTGATTTACCGTAAGCTATACAAGCTAGCATCTAGTAACTTTAGTAACGATATCTAGCTAATGTTAGGCTAACGTTAACGGTAGCGTTAGCTAATCATTTTCCACCGGAGCTTTATTGCTAGCTGTCTAACGTTGCGTTCTCTCCTGCTGTGTTCAATGACTCAATTCATCAAGCTGTAGCTAACGTTAGCTAAGCCTATGTCAACAGAGGGTAACTTAGATATACCAGAAAATATTAAAATGATTGAAACCATCACTCACCAAATTCAGTCAGGTAAATCGCCGAGGCCAGGCGTGCTTTCAGCTTCTGATGGTGGTCTGGATCCCGCTCTGGTCAGCACGAGCGAAGCGAACTGCTTGTAAACCAATGATCAGGTCCCTTTTTGGCACGCGCACCTGTTCGCAGTTCACTGAATCTCTTGGGCTGGTTCCGAGGCCGTAGCGTTGTGCACCGTGGAGGACGGGACCCAATCACTGCTGCTGAGAGAGTCTCTCGGCTGCGGTGATTGGGTCTCGTCTTCCACTCGTCACCCAACGGTGCGTGCCTCTGAACATACCTACCCCCCCCCCCCCCCTTAAATATTTTCTCATCGAATCTACACGATTCACGTAGGTCACCTATTTTGGTTTCAAAATGGCGAATATCGCCGAAAGGGGAGTGATTCTCATGCCTGCAGAAATTAGACGTAGATGCAGCCAAAATCAACGAAGGCAACTGTCGTTTTTCCATACATCTGCAGGCAGTCTGTAAGGGCAATCTGACAACCCACACAGCTCTAGTTTACGCTGGTAACGACCTAGAGCACACCCCTCAAGTCCAGAGATGTAATGCGAAGACATGCAGCGATTTCTTCGGTCGTTAATTCCGGAAAAAAAACTTGTGCGCTCTGCCTGGCTAGTTAGCTAGCTGTTTATATTTGCAATTCCAGGATATTTGCACCTCCAGGAAAATGGCGTATTTATTTATATATATATATATATGGCGCGTGTTGCATTGTGGGTAGTTCGTGACATCACTGTGTGTGAAAGAATAGAACATTACGTGTTGATAGAAATCAACATGTAATGAAATAAGACCCCACGGTTTGATGATTGATAGGTGTGTGGGCTGTCTTTCATTTTGACACACAGAACAATGTTATAATAAACATACATAGCCTACTGTATGTTAAATGGATATATCCGGCTTCTTTCATTTATCTTTCCATTCCCACAACAATATACATAAAGAAATGGCATATTTTGGACATGGTTCGAATGGTGATTAATCATGATTAATACATTTTTAAACTGTGATTAATCCGATTTTCACAGTGTGGTGTTTGTACTTTTACTTACCTGCAGCAAGTGCTGATAAATGGTCTAAAGTGTTATTAATGTGATAATAAAGTGTTACTGAAGAGTGTAAAGTGTTAATTAAGGGTAAAGGGAACATACCTGCTCTGTGTATCCGAAGCTCAGGCTGTAAAACATCGTCCAGAAGTTTCTGGAGTCTCTTGTTCTCCTCTTTGGAAAGAAGCAGCTCCTCCTCGAGCTCTGCTATCGTTTTTTCAAACGGAGCAAATATCTCTTCAGCAGTGAGTCGCTGCTTCTTCAACGACAGCAGCATTTGGACTTTACTCATGTTTACTAGATCACCTTTCCCTGCAGACTCCGTTAAACACACCGTTTCTCTCTCCGTCAAACTCTCAGTCTGACTAGCGTTGCTAACGTGTTTCCAGCTAGCATGCTAAGCTAGCTCCTATAGTCCGAGGTAAACGCTCCAGAAAAAAGAGCACAGAGTCCATTCAGAGGTTTATCCAAACACAGAGATGATGGATCAGTAGAGCTGGAGCTCACACGCACTTTCTCAGGAACACAGAGAGAGAGAACCGGAGCGACGAGACGCCACCTCGATCCAGGTTAGAAAGAGCTGGGAACTTCACTTCCGGTGCGGTTTGAGGACGTCAAAATAAAAGCGGGAAGGATTTCTTCTTTTTGGTTTTAAGAACGATTGGCATCCGGACGTTGCCTTAACACCTACTACTGGATCAATAATAAAACTACTCTTTCAAAACAAAACTATTATAACTAACAGAAAATACTCATAAAGGAAAAAGGGAAAATAAATAAACATCATTAAGCTAAACAGGTCGCAGTGCACAAATCAAATATCTGTATAGTGTTAGAAATTAAAATCAATGTGGATATGGCGTAATTTGAATTAAATACACTATTGTAGTGTCGAGAGAAAGGGAGTCGGAGGCGGTGCAATGAAGGTGCAAAAGGGTACTTTACTTCGGAGCAGAAAAGGACATGTTGTTGGGTCGCAGCCCGGGAAAACAAGAGGACAAGAAGCAAGGAGGGCACACAATATATACAGTAAGTGTTACGCCCCTGATAAAAGGGAAGAATTTTGACAAAGTTAGGTTTCATTCTCCGGTACTTTTACTGGAGTGAGTCAAAAAATGCAACACCTTTCAATAGCACATACAACTTGGCTATTAACACTGTATTTCAATCATGAAACTTCTTAATTACCACAATATCATTGATAAGATTATATAATTGACAACATATTACATATAACTGTGTCCATACACAATACACAAGATGGCGGCAAATGCGCGTTACGCAGTGTTTGCATGGATGTATAATAAGAACTGGATACAGCGTGGGAGACAGGGCCTCATTAATTCCTATGAGAGTTGCTCATTGGCGCATGATGATAAAATGGCTCAACTTTTGAGAGAGTGAAACGTCACAGATTACCCGGCATGCCTGAGAAGTACCCGTATGTGCACTCATAGAGCATGCGCGACTTTAACCAAAATGCTCGATCACATCAAGCACGTCAATTTGCGTACACGTAACAGCACCGCACGTTCATGACAAGCCCCCAGGAAGTGCGCCGGAGTCTGATGAGAATATTCGTGCTGGTCAAACGGCGGTACTACACTTCCTTTAGGTTGTTGGGCCCGGAAACACTTTTTCCCATTGACTTACATTGGGAAAGAGTGGTCTGTAACTCGTTGGATAATTTTTTTTAAACTAAATAAACTACCCAGTATGAACGTTTGTATAGCTCTTATTAAAACAATTCGTTCCTCAAGTTGTAAAAATGTGCTAATAACGTTATTCTGAGAGTTATTTCCCTCGGCACTATGAACGCGCATCTAACCCACGGGACCGCGCCGCCCGGCATGTTCATGTTATGTGTTCAGTACTACATGATCCTCTTTACCCATGGAATAACAACAGACCATATCGCCTTACTGCCAGCCCACGGAGCTGTAATAATGGATATATTGCACATGTTTGCTGTAATTCATCATTTGTAAAATATTATACTACATGGGCTGTATGATGTCAATCTTGTACCGTAAATGTTGTATTAAATAAAGTTAATATTACCGACGTAGATTAACGTTCCTGTAGCTTCTTATTGCACTTGCAATTGTTTTAGTTACTTGTGGGCTAACATGAATAATCACAGTTACTATCCTTTTACTCCATCACATTTCAAAAAGAAATAGGCTATTGTTATTTTAACTCCACCACAGTAATCCATCATCAGCTTTACTTTTTAGATAAAGTTTTAACTCACAATTGATCATAACAGGCTTCAACATATACATTTGTATATATTACCAAGTGGTTTCATGTACAACCCACACAAGTATCATGGTAAATGAAGCTCTGTTGCTTGGATATCACTAGATCCTGATGTCAGCGTAATATAAAAGTACATAACGATTGATGTGTAACTTAGCATAATTTACTAGCTAGCCGCTAGCTGTTAACTGCCGCCTCGTTAATATAAATCCAGTACCATGCTGTCATGAACGCGCAGTGCTGTTACGTGTACGCAAATTCACGTGCTTAATGTGAACGAGCCTTTTGGGCGGCGTAGTTAAAGTTGCGCATGCTCTGTGAGTGCACATACGGGTACTTCTCAGGCATGCCGGGTAATCTGTGACGTTTCACTCTCTCAAAAGTTGGGCCATTTTGTCATCATGCGCTAATGAGCAACTCTCATTGGAATGAATGAGGCCCCGCCTCCCACGCTGTATCCAGTTCTTATTATACATCCATGGTTCATGACAGCATGGTAATGGATTGTTATTATGATGGATTTGATATTAACGAGGCGGCAGTTAGCAGCTAGCGGCTAGCTAGTAATTATGCTAATGTCACATCAATCGGTACTTATATTACGCTGTAACAGGATCTAGTGATATCCAAGCAACAGAGCTTCATTTAGCATGAAAGAATGATTGTACTGTATATATATATATATATATACTTATAATAATAAGTAATATTAACTTTATTTAATACAACTTTTACGGTACAAGATTTAATCATACAGCCCATGTAGTATGATAATGAATTACAGCAAACATGTGCAATATATCCATTATTACAGCTCCGTGGGCTGGCAGTAAGACGATATGGGTCCGTTCTTATTGTGCATCCATGGGTAAAGATAAACGCAACTCACATTGGTTTCTCAAACAGCATCTCTGTAAACTGCGTGTATTCACTGAATTTCACTCTCTGCCTTTAACGGCTCGTTGTAGCTCCAATAGCTCCAATAGCTCCAGCCCCCACCCTCCCTGTGAGCACAGTGTGCTCTGATTGGTCGGGACACATAACATGAACGTGCCAGCGGCGCGGTCCCGTGGGTTAGATGCGCGTTCATAATGCAGAGGGAAATAACTCTCAGAATAACGTTATTAGCACATTATTACAACTTGAGGAACGAATGTTTTTAATAAGGGCTATACAAGTGTTCATACTGGGTAGTTTATTTAGTTTAAAAAAAATTATCCAACGATTTACAGACCACTCTTTCCCAATGTAAGTCAATGGGAAAAAGTGTTTCCGGGCCTGGCAACCAAACGGAAGTATAGTACCGCCGTTTGGCCAGCACGAATATTTCCATCTGAGTCCGGCGCACTTCCTGGGGGCTTGAGTGTTTCAATAACCAATATTTACCTGAAAGCTTTTTCCCCCTCCACATTACAGGATTTTCTTACACATGAGTTCATGTGTAAAAAGGGGTGAGTGTGTATCATGTATAATGTCAACATGGTTGTAAAATTCACAATTTACATTTTTATTTTAGGGATTGAAAGAAACCTTCCGCCCCAACCCAGATGTTCAAACTGAGCATTGAATGATAGTTTTAGAATGAACTTGCTCCATATCTGGGGATAAGATACTGTTTGATGAATGTTGACATGTTTCTAAATATTGATTGCATTATAATAGGTAACACAGAAGCAGTGGCCAAGGGGCTACTGTGAGAGATGTAAGTCCAGAATAGAATACCGAAGAAGTTGACCTCTGATAATGAAACCATTTTGTAATATTTCAACAGATATTAGAGTAACTGAGGTTTGAAATGTAGAAAGAACATATTACAGTTAAGTTAAGCTAAAACAATGTAATGAATGTAAATTTAAGAGAGCCAACCAGGAGAGTGCTTGCTCTCTCAGTGTATGGGAATTTAGTCCCAAGCGTTTTTCTGTCTG